ATAAATATTTTTTCTTGAAAATATTAAATCTTACGTTATATATATTTGTATAAAAATACACACACATACCTCACCTTAATAAGCACTTCAAGCGAAAAACAAGTGTATAATAACACATCAAACATATTGTATCTGCTATACCCAGTGCCAACAATGCCATTCGTGCGACACCAGAATTTTTTAGACTAGCTGGATTACAACGTATTCTATGGTCTATGGCAGTTATTTTGGTGTAAAGTTAATAGTTTAGAGAAAAACTATTAATCACGAAGGAAGGGTGTTCAAAGATTACCAGTCATCCTACACCCTGCACGAAGTTCAAGATTAAAGGTTCGTAGAATGGTCATCGTTTTAATTGGACCAAGTGGGCAAAAAAAAGAATTAAAAGAAGAGAAAATATATATATAAATATACATGTCCATATAAATAAAAAATATGCATAAATAAATATACATACATATACACATATACACGCATATATACAGAACTTATTAGTCATTTAAATTAGTAAATTGCTTGACTACAACTGGCCCCCCAGTGGCACAGCGGTATGTCTGCGGACTTACAACGCTAGAAACTGGGTTTCGATACCCGTGGTGGGCAGAGCACAGATAGCCCATTGTGTAGCTTTGTGCATAACTACAAAACAAACAAACTGTTACGGTGTGGAATAGACGAAATTGATAAAATGTAATTTTTCATCAGTTTTATTTATATCACAACAAATAATAATTAAGGTAAGTATTTTACAACACTATATTATCTATTTATTTTATTGTCACACCTTATTAATTATTATATTTTATTATTATTTGAATTAACCTGCTCATTAGTTAGAAAAACTGACGAGGTAAAAAGCTAGTCTTCCCGAGAGTACGTGGGTCTAGAGACAACAGCGTCAATGGAAAAATACTACGTTGCTAATTCATACCTTCTGAGTAAAAGAAAATAAGAGTATGTTCTAATATGTCAGCCACGCTATATCCAGTGCCGACGAGGGTTTTCGTCAAATACCAGGACACTTCTATTTTTTCAGAATCACCGTATTTAAATGAGCAACTAGTTTTTCGCAACTGGCTGACCGAACCGGGTATGGCCTAGTAGCAAGCGAGTCCAGTCTGTGAATTTTCTACCGCAAAAACATGGCTCCAGCTTTGAGGCAGTAGATGTGTTATAAGAATTACGTTCAAATCCCACCATTAACATCCCAAGAGTTGGCGCTTGGTGATTTTGACTAACTACCTTCTCTCTATATCATTTCAAAATTAGGGACGGCATATAGCTCTTACGTGAAATTCTAAAGCAAACAGAAACAAAACTCTGATTTATACCCAAACGTCAGATTTACAGATAAAAACTAAATATAATACAGAAAGTGTTTTCATTGCTGTGTGAATCCGATTACCACAGTTATCGCCTTTACTAGGCTACACTTTACATTTTCTGCTATGTAATTTTACTTAACTGTTTTGTATGCGACGCAATTTGTTGTTGACTTAGTCGACTGAAAGAAAAAGTCATCGAAGATAGGAATACAACTTTGTTTTATGCTCAGTTCCATTTAGATGAAGCAATTTGATATAAATGTTATGTTTTCTTAAAAATTAATAGACAGCAGGATAGATGATTTTAACAGAAAAAAATATATATAGTTATCCAATAACATGTTTTCTATCGCTTGTTGACAGTTACCAACTTATGTTTTATCATTCTGTTTTGTGTCAAGATTTTTAAAGCCTCGTTACTTACTTTGGTATTGCAGTGATCAAGTAATTCCCCATATGGCCAGGAGCGTCGAGAGCCAGCCCAGGCCCCGGGGTCAGTAATATCATCGGGCCCCCATTTCATTCTACTCATTAACTTTTGCTAATTTTTCATGGAAAAGCAGCAGCCATTTTAACTCATTAAGTAGTATGCATTTCTAGTGAGTTTGGAATATCCTACTGCTGGGCCTCTCAACTGACCCCGGGGAAGCTGCTCCCCTTGACTCCCCTCTCATCAGCCCTGCATGATATGGCTAACTTACATACGCTGGAATGTATTTATATAGAAGAGAGAATTATGGGATGGGTGGGAAATTAGATAAAGTGACTACACATGTGAATAACTAATTAGAAAGATGGATACTTAAATAAACGAAGAATTAGTAATGGGAAAAAGTAAATGGGTAACTTGATTTATGGATAACCAAAAAGGTAGATAATTTGGTGCTTTGATAGCTACATACATAAATGGATAAAAGAATGAGAGGACTAGATAAATGGATAATATAACTTACTCTTTGAGTAAAAAAGATGCCGTAAAAATAGTGAAACCAGTCTTCAGAAAGTAATTAATTAATTAATAGATAAACGACAACATAAGTTCAAGCTGAACAAACAAATATTTATTTCTAAAGATAATTTAATTAACAATAATGCAATAAACATTAGAATATTTATCATCCCTGTCATCTTAACATTTGCTGCATCTTCCGCTTCAGTCTGAATTTGATAGTCCTTTTTACTGTTTCAACTAGGTTTCATCCGTGTCAGCTAGATTTTTTTAATATTAGAAACATCAGTGCCAATAACATCAAATCAATGATAGTCTCCTGAAAAATTCCTCAGACATTGGTCGACTTTCTTCTAAACATTAATGTAGATTTATGTCGATATTTTCTTGTATTTGGAGCTTAATGATGAAGAGGTAATTCACATTGGATAAATACCCAGGTTTGATACAACAACACATTAAATACTTACAACAACCTTTGCCAGTACCCAGTTAGATTCAACAAGATATTAAAGACTAACAACACCCCCTGCCTCTATCCGCTTAGACACAACAACACATTAAAGACTTATAATATCTCCTGCCAATACCAGGTTAGAAAAAATAACACAATAAAGACTTTCAACAACGTGTGCCAGAACCGCCTTAGATACAAAAACACATTATAGACTTACAACAGTAATCCCACCATATTAAGGTCTAGTATTGTCTTCTGGTTGGTGTTCTTCCCAATAGTTCTCCTTTTTCGATGTCTTGTCTGCCATAGTTGTAATCTCGTCACAACTCCAACCATAATGGTGAC